CTGCTACAGGGTAAGACATGGGTTTCAGGTAAGTGCTGAACATACAAGAAAAGTCAGTTGTGCATAGCTGATCTCTTTAAGTATCAGAATGAATGGTTCTGATTAGCTTTATCAAAAGGAGGTTGGGGTTGCTCTGCTGAATTTCTACTGGTTTGGGAAAGAAGGCCAATTGTCAATTATTTAATGAGATATTGAAAAGATATTAAAAGAAAATCTCCGTCTTTAAGTCTTTAATTCTTTGTTTCTTACATTGGCTCTTTAGTAATTTTACAACATAGCCTTCTTTTTTATTTTTTGGCTTATTTTATTCTTTCTGATAAGTAATAAAATAATTTTGCTTTGGAGTTGTCATTAAATTGACTCGAGCCAGGTTTTTCTTTTCTGTTACAATAATCATTGGTGATAATATTTCTCAGGGAAAAATTTATATCAAGGTAACTATATATCAGAGTGACTTGTTTTCCTGTCAGGAGAAATAACCAATAAAGAAAGGAAACAAGTTATTGTTATATTGTCTGCTCCTTCCTTTTGAGTTAAGTTACTGTGATGAGCATTGTAGGCTGACAGTACTGATAAAGTAATTATAGGCAGTTATTATCTTACCTCTTCCAAACAGAGACCTTTTTCTGAAAATATGCTGCTAACAAATAGGCACTTTAGGTATTGAAGAACCTACAACACTGCTTTTTATTTTAATATTCTTTGCTCTTGGGTAATTTGCATAATTAGCACTAAGGTGTGAGGGAGGGGTGCTTTATTTTTTAAAGAAAACTTTGTAAAATTTAAACTGGGTTGGCTGCTGCAGCATATTAGAATATTAACTCTGCTCTTGAGATTTTATGGCTGTTTATTATGCATTAATTAATTAATTAATTAATCTTTTGAGGCAGAATCTCAGTCTGTCGTCAAGCCTAGAGTGCTGTGGTGTCAGCCTAGCTCACAGCAACTTCAAACTCCTGGGCGCAGGCAATCTTCCTGCCTTGCTTATTAGGAATTTAAAGTTTTGTTTTTCAGGGTTCTTATCAACTGAGAACAACCAACAATAGCTGGGATAGTTGGATCTTGTCACTGGACATTAGGATTCAAATTTGTTTTTATTGTTATGTGCAAAGCATTGCATTGGATCCAGAGGGAGGACCTAGAATAATGAATAAAAGAGGTTTCCTTATCTCAGAAAAGCTATTCTTGTGGGAGAGATTGTAAAGGAAGAAACTAATCCTTGAGCACTCACCTGTGTGCCAGGCAGTGTGCTAGTTGCTTTGTATGTTTTGTCTAATGCTTAGAACAAGCTTATTTTTGTTTTACAAGTGAAGAAGTTCCAGTTCACATAGACCTTACGTAACTTGCTTAAGGGTACACCTATCTTGTTAAATGTGAACCTGTTTATGTCCTGCTGCAGCCCCCCAGGTTTTCCATGGCACTGTGTGGTGGACATGCATGTAGATACGGTCGAGGACCTTGATCAGGCGTGTATAGGGGCGTGAGCTGCCTTGGAGCCCAGTGTGAGCAGGAAGAGTACCTGTATTCAATAGTCTAGTCACTAACCTCTGAGCCTGAGACTTCTTTCTCACATTCATTCATTCATTCAGTTTTTCCTCTAGGACCTGTTGTAAGGTCAAAGAAAAATAGTATCAAACTCCCTTTAGCTGACAAAGTGCCTGTTGCTGGAGAAAGCACAGTGATGTAGGCACACTTGCGGCCACGGATTGCACCTGTTTGGGCCTCCTGTCCCTACCCCTTTCCCTTTCCTCCTCCCACCCCCTTTTCTTTTTTGTTTAATGGTGGTGTAATAGTACCTAGCTCTTAGTTTGGGGAGTTAAGTGTGTAACTTTTAGTACCTCGTCCAGCATATATGCTAATGATAATAATTGTTATTGCTTGTTTGGTCACTACACACCCAATTTTCAGGTTTAGGAACTTGGTTTTATGAGACTTTCTTAGGTTTGATAAGATCTGTGGACTTACTCACACCAGCCAAACTTATGATTGGCTAAATAATTGAGCGGAATGTTGATCTATTAATTTATTAAGGAGATATTCTCGTAACAGGTACATTCAAGTATTCCTGTGTGTCAAACTAAATTACTTATTAACACCTTTGTAGTGCAAATGAAATTGAATCAAAGGTAGTTTTTAATAGGCTACTTTATTTAGGCTCGGTAGAACCTGCGGAATTGTATCTTTAACAACATCAACAGGAATACTGTTTTTTGTTTTGTTTTTTTGTTTTGCTGTAGACAGGAATGCTACTGCTTGGTGAAGACACCTGTGCCTCTTTACTCCTTTGGGTTTCTTTTCTTCCCTTTCTCTTTTCTGTAATGTAAATAGCTGGGCCACATTAGTAATGGAGATTTTATGTTTGCAATTTCATTTTTTCTCTATAAAAGCGAAATTTATATGTAAGGAATTTTCATGAAGATGATTAAGTAGACTATTTCTTTATCAATTCATTCTGGATTCTTTGTGTTTTTACTGATGTTACTGGGCATTCCTTCCCACATTTGCCAACTACAGATGATGCTTCTGTTTTTCTTTAGTTCTTTAATATCTGGTAGTTTGGAATTATTTGTTGACAATTATCAGGGAAACTGGTGCTTTTGTGTTCCTTGGGGTCCTTCAATATACCTAGCCTTTTTTATTCTTGTCACAAATGATATAATCTACTTTGTTAGCAAAATGAATGAGTACCGTGGAGATTAATTTGCTTTTTTGTTTTAACTTCTGTAAGGATGAGTTTTTGGAGGAGCCAGGGGTGGTTTTGCTTATTAATATTTGAGACTTTTACTTATAAAGATGGTTTCAGGGTGGTAGTAGTGAAAGTATCAGAATTATTGGATAAAAATATGGCTCCCTTGACAAAAACGTAAATTTATACAGCAAAATTTACATAGTGATTTTTGTTTTCTAAAGTTGTTTTATGAACTCTTGGAAGAGGTAGTGGACAGGGAAGAGTGGAGCCTGAAGTGGAGGATTTGTGAATGATTACAGAGGGGTGCATCCAGCGGACACGGGGAGAAGGGGGTGAAGGAGAACTGGGAGAGACAGTGCGTCTAAGGTGTTTAGCGCAGTGCTTGGCATGGAGTGCATGAGCACTGGCTGTCACTAATAGCACCTAATTCTCATTTACAGACGGAGTTTATGAGCATCTTTCACATGCATTTTTAGTTATAAAGGTTTTAGAGCTGTCAGGCCAATATTTAAAAAGGATTGCTTGAATTTGTTTGCTACTTGACCTAGAGCAGATTCAGAGGCCTTTGTTACAATTTCCGAGAGAACCAGAAATTGTATCAGGACTTCTTCTAAGACAGCTCCCATTTTGCTAACTCCTTAAGCTCTCTCAGCTCTCACCCATAGCCATAGCCCTCCTTGACTCCAGAAGCTATGATTCAGTGTTGTTTTCAGACATACTTGCTCCTTTATTTTGTATTTTTCCCTGCCACAGCAGGGAATGGGAAGGGCATACAGCCTTGTAGGACAGTATGGGCAAGCACAGTAAAGCTTCAGGGCTAGAAGTGTGCGTTACTGTCTCATTTTCTCGTTTTAATTCATACAGTTGTTAACCCCATTCTAATACAGGTTGAATATTCCTAACTTGAAAATCTGAAATATGAAATGTTCCAACATGTAAACCTTCTTGAGTGTTGATATGATGCCCAAAGGAAATGCTCAAGGGAACATTTTGGATTTCAGATTTTCAGGTTGGGTATGCTGAAGTATGTAATGCACATATTCCAATATCCGAAAATATTTGAGATCTTAGACGCTTCTGGTCCTAAGCATAATGGATAAGGGGTACTTAACCTGTATCCCATTTTCCCTATTTTTCCTCAAATAAGTACTTCTTAGTTCATAATTATTAAAAAAGAAAAGGCTGGTGGGTTGGGGAAAGGTAAAGAAAGGCTTACATATGAGTGACTTTGAGCATCGCAGTCATGATTTGACTCTGAGCGATGAAAGCCATTGCAAAGTGCGAAGCTAAGGTCTGGTATGTTCCAGTTGGGTTTTAACAGGATTTTGCCAGATTCTGGATGTATTTTGATGGGTTAGAGGTACAGGGTGAGAGAAAGAAGAATCAAGGATGGCTCCACTTGAACAACCAAATCTTAAATCCTGCTGGAGGCAGTGAAAGTGACCTAGGAATTAAAATATTCCTTGGAATTTTGTTGGGAATTGTGCTTTTTCTGTTTCAGAGGAAATAATGGGAAAGGGCATCCACAGTTGTAGGCTTTGGCCTACCTTACAGCAGGGACTGTGTATGGAGGGATATTACCTATGGTTGGAATTCAAGTATCATCCTCTCTAGAAGTAAGGTTTTGAAATCTAAATTTCATTCACTGATTTGGGGCAAGTAGTTCATATTGAAAATTAATTACAACTATATTCTGCAAAAATTAAGTGTTTTTATTTATTCACATTTATGGTAGGATTAGGGGCTAACATTTCCTCCTCACTTTTAACAGACTGTGTTCATTTAGGCTTTAGAATCTCAGAGCTGGATGGGACCTCAGGGGCAGTATAGGCGTGGACTGTGCAGTCCAGTGCATCTGGGCTTTCATTCTGGGTCTGCCGCATACCACCGTGAGTAAGGTGCTCAGACTCTGAGTTTGGATGACCAGATCTTGAAATAGGGTTTAGTAATAGTATCTGTTTAACTGCGCTATTATAAAGACATAATCAAATAATGCACGTCATGGTGTACCTGCCTAGCATTTGCTGAGGACTTGGTAGATGTCAGCTGTTGGTAAACTGAGCTGCTTTACAGCCATTATTTCTTTCATATGTGAGACAAGTGAGGTAAAGAGAAATTGTAAGTAACTTGTCCGGTGTCACAGATGAAACTTGACGACTAAAAATTTGTATCTTAGTTTGTGCCTCAGATGTTTATGATAAAGAAACATTTTTTAAACAGTGATGAATAGCCTTTTTCATTTACTATTGTTAGAAAAAGTAAATCTCTTCAGAATGTTTTTCCAAAAATGTGTCATTTTGTTTTCTTTCAGGATTTGGAGTTCCATGGAGTGATGAGATTTTATTTTCAAGATAAAGCTGCTGGAAACTTTGCAACAAAATGTATTCGGGTCTCTAGTACTGCCACTACCCAAGATGTGATTGAAACTCTCGCAGAGAAATTCCGGCCTGACATGCGGATGCTGTCCTCTCCCAAGTATTCCCTCTATGAAGTGCACGTCAGCGGAGGTCAGTGCACGCAGGCGGGCTTTGGTAGGGTGCGACTGATCCGTGACTCGACAGCTTATGCAGGGGCATTTTCATCATGTCATCACTGGTTTACTTCTCATCTCCCTCTTTCTTTTTTTAGAGGGGTTGGGGGAATAGTTAGCAGGCTGGTAAAACTTTTTTATGTCTAGCACATAAACTTTTTTATGTGCTCTTAAAAGTCACTGGCACATATATTTGCTAGAAGTTAGAATGACTATATTAATTTTACATATGCTTATTTCTCCGAAGATAAGTAGCATGACATTTCATAATTAAAGTATCTCACATATTGGGGTGTCACATACATAGATGGTGTAGTATGTTCCCTACTTTTTGAGAATGTTTTTATGTAACTCTTGTGTATAAGTTTTAATGTTACAATTATGATACAATCAGTTGTAACCCAGTTTAATATTATGCAGGTATGAATCATCAGTCTCGGTATTTAATATATTTTTGCATTCTGAAACAGTATACTGTCATTATTCTTTGGGAATAATTAGGGCACCTTGAGGAAACTTTATGTATTGAGTAATTTTTCCTTGTATTAACATTAGAAATTTCAGAATATATCTTGTATAGCTTTATCAAATGGCAGCTTAAGTTGGACTGTTAGAAATGTAGAAATTTATAAAATATTTACGGGTGCTTTGGAAATGTTTAATAACCTGTAAAAAAAATGCAAATTCCAATTAGTGCAGCAAATAAAGGATTACATACAACACAGACCCAATTTGAATACCCCTTAACTTCTGTCCACAAACCGTTTTGAACATTATTTTTATTTACGTCAGAAGTACAGATTTCTTTGTATATCTGAACTTTGATTAAAATGTTTGTTATGTGTGGGATTTTCAGGTGTGACTAAACATTTTTTTCCCCCTGGGTAGTATGTAAGGCATGCCAGTTTTTTTCCCCTACTTTTTTAAGGTTATAAGAGTATCGCCTTCATTAAATAATACCAAGACTAAATTTGACAATAAGAAGGTTCTCAATTTTGGATGAATTTTCTGAGACTGAGTATTTTGTTTACTTTAGAGTAAAAAGACGAACAATATTCATAAACGAAAAGGAAGAGGATGCAGGAATTGTCGGAGCTCAGATGGGGCGGCCTGATTCAGGTATAAGCGTTTATAGTAAAAAAGGCTTTTCCTCGTGCTATATCTGTTATGAAAGTGCTATGTTAGAGCACCCTTCTGTATCTAGCCTGCTTACAGGCGTTTCCTTAACTAATACCAAAGGTGAAAAGACAACCACAATTGTACAACGCGGCAAAACAAGTCGCTGCCTTGCATCCATTTTGCCTTATGTAGAAGAGTCCGTGTTCATTTAAGATAAAATGAAACAAAATAATATAAACACACACACAATATAGGGCCTTTCTAAAAAATTTCTACGAACAGAG